TCCTCTGAAGATGCCGGCCACAGAGACTGGCGAAATGTTAGGAAGAACAACCTCCAGAACACGGCCATAGAGCCCAAAAAACCCACAACAACCATTAGATCCGGGCCATGAAAGCCTTCGCGAATACAAGGTTTTTCTACATTTTTCTTCCACTTTGACTATCTTGCTGTAAAAACCTATTGCTGCTTTGTCTAATGTTTCCACTTCGGAGAGCTTTCCTCCAAGATTCACCCACCCCCAAAATAAAAAGACATAACAAGGAAGTAAATAAAATCCCAGAGTCACATCCAGGTCTAGTCATTCTTCTGATGGAAGATATATTCCAGCAGAAGGGGGGAGGGGCAATGTTTAGTAATTTTACCCTTCTTCCTACAACCCACTATTTGATCTGAAGGGCATATCTCAAGCCAGTGGGTCAGGTTTTTGAGAGAAAAACAAAGAGGGAGAAATAAATGAAAATAGGTAATCCTGTTCTGTGAGCATTCTGTTCTAAGAATGCAGTTCTCTAAGCTGACATAATTAAATGTCATTTTAAATTGTACATTGTTATGGATATACTTATTTTGCAAAATACATAAATGCAAGGAAATAATGCAGATCATAATGGGATACAGTTTGTATTTTGGGGCCCAAAGGACAATTCTCTAGCAACAGAAAAAGTGAAGGCAATCTCTCAAAGAAGCAAGTCAGAGAAAATAATGTATTTTCTTAAGTCTTTTCAGATGAATAATGTCATGCTTGAGAACACAGTTACAGCCAGTACTTTGTCAAATAGTAAGAAAGATGTAATTTACAGAATTAAAATCAGAACTTTGATTGATTAACTGATTGATTTACTGCCCTATTAGTGCATGCTCTACTCTGAGTGGTTTAGAAGTTGAAACTTTAAAAACCCGCAGACCCCACTTTTAATTGAACAGGAGTGTTTAAACTTAAGTCAGTAGAGCTCACCTTCTAAGTCACAATGATTATTATTCACAAATATTATTCACAAATATTATTCACAGAGGCAGTCAATCAGAAAACCATTAGAAAAGCAGGGAACAATCGAATTCCAAGGAGGTTGCTTTGGTTCTAAACCAGTGTGTGATGTCAGTAACAAATTAGACTGAGTGTCAACAAGACAGAGGGGCTGCTGGTCAGCTAAAAGGCAGAATCAGGGAATAAGTATTCGGCCTATGTTGAATGGCGTTATATTCCTCTTGAAAATTCAGATTTACAGAATGGATATTCTCCTATACTTAAACCCTGAGGCTGGACGCCCATGCTTCAACAGAGGCCAAGAAGGTTTTTGCACAATTAAAGCCATGATGCTGTAAGAAGCTTCATCCTTTCCCTGTGGCTGTTCCCCTTCTTGAATTATGGAAGATTGAGTCGTTATTTTGAATAAAGAACTTTTATTAACAGAACCTATTGCTTCAACTTTGTTCAACTCGTTAGAACAACAAACAGATAACTGAGGGGGAGAATTATCCCACATCCATAATACAGTGGTGCCTCGCTTAGCGACATTAATCCGTTCTGGAAAAACCGTTGCTAAGTGAAAACATCGCTAAGTGAAATTAAAAAGCCTATAGAAACACATTAAAACACGATTAATGCATTCCTATGGGCTTAAAATTCAGCTTTAAGCGAAAATCCTCCATAGCGCTACCATTTTCGCTGCCTCTTAAATGAGGAAAAACAGCAGGCGGCCATTTTGTTTTCCCAGCGGCCATTTTGAAACCGCTGCTGTTAAAAAAGGGTCGCTTTGCCATGATCGCTTCCCCGCGATCATCGCAAAGCGAAAAAAAACCATAGGGACGGTCGCAAAAACTCCGTCACTAAGCGATTTCATTGCTCAACGGAGCGATCGCTATGCGAGGCACCACTGTAACAATCTTTCTTGATTAACGTCCTTTAATAACAAATTCTGCTCGATTTCTCTTTGTCGGTCGGTTCTCTCGGTTGTTGTTTGCGCCCGGTGCATATGGTCCCACAGCAAGGGTGGCGAGCCCATTGTCCTTCTGACATGAAACTCTGGTCTGCTGGATAGGCTTGTTGCTCTGGACCTTGATCCCTTGGATAGACTAGAACTGTCCATTCCAAAAGACTCAGACCTGGTATAATCGGACTGATATTCTCTTCTGAAGACCCCTCATCCCTTCCCTCTCTGATATTCCCGGCTACTCTCTTTCTCGGTATCTTATAAGCAAATGCGCCTTTGTCTGCTAAGTCATCTGTTGTCTCATTAATCACAGAGACTTTTTCCGTATCTGTGGATGTGTTTCCTTCCTCTGTTGTTAGAAACACATCTACCCTCTCTCTGTCATCTCTTCGATTACCCCTTTCCTCTCTCCCTCTCTCCTGCCTCAATGGTTTGCTTTCCTCGCGCCTTGCTCTCCCTCTCTCTGTCTCTTGTTCCTCCGCACGCCTTTTCTCTCGCGCCTTTCTCTCCCTCCGTCTCTCGTTCCTCCGCGCGACTTCTCTCCTTTTCTTCCTCCTCGCGCGCATCACTTGCTTGTCCTTTTCCCTGTTCTGCCTCTCTTCCTGTTGTTATTATTCCTTTCATCTGTTCTGTGTCCTGTTCACGAGGGGATGGCTCACACTCTGCTCTGACCTCAGATGCCAGCTACATCTGTTCCTTGAGATGCCTCATCTGACTGCTGTGACATACATTCTGCTTATACCTCACTTCAATTACATTAAACTTCTGTTGAAAAAAAATCTGCAGCCAGATTGATGGTTGGTTATAGGGAACATACATATTTCCTGTTTTATCTGCTCCTCTGACTACTAGTTTGTATATGGCTTGGGTGCAAGCAATTTGAACGACTACTTCTGCCTCTAGAATTCCCTGCATTTAAGATCTTTAGGAGAGGCACTTCTCTCAGTCCCATTTTCCTCACAGAGGCTTGAGAGATGGCCTTTTCAGTGGCTGCTTCATTACTCTGTTCTATAAAAAGCTGGACTGAACTCCATCCCCTGTCCTGCAGCACACAAGACTTCAGTTAATCTTTCAGCAACTGATCCGGCCTCAGAGAGAATTTTTAACAGGAAATACTGCACTTTTTTTCCTTCAAAACTCTTTTTTGAAGAAAAATGGGGGAAAGAGTGATGTAGATTGCTTGGTGATTGTTTATTTGAAGAGATGGGATATAAATTCAAGGATGCTGCTCAGGGAGGAGTTTCCAATCAACCACCAACCACAAACACTGCTCAAAAACACTTTGCCTGGAATGAACAACAACCATGCCATACCATGAAATTTTGGGACTAAGCCTGATAAAGATGGATTACCAACAAAACCTAGCTATCAACTTGAATTTTTTTCCAGTGGTCCAATGCCACCCGAGTCTGCATTTTTTAATTTGTCAATCTCTCTCATTTTTTTCAAGTCCAACAGTCTTTTAGTGTATATGTTTCACATAATGTTTACTGTATTGATTTATGCATATTATATTCCTCCCTCCATGGTGTAAAGTGCCTTGGTTCCTGAAACAGGAGAAAAGTTAAATTAAAGTTAATCTGGATCACTGGTATAAACTTACAGTAAATATTTTGTTCATTTGATGTTTCTACTTATACTGTATATTGCTCTATAGTGCTGAAGCACTCTCTGGGTGGTTTATTAAGCTAAGATAGGAAGATTCATGTTCAACATAATTCTCACGTATATTTATTTCACATGCAATTCTATTTGTCCATGTATAGTACAAAATCCTTTTAGTCTTGTCATGCCAGACATGCACAAAGGAGGAACACTGATTTTGCAAAACTAATTGCAAATGATTTTTACCTTCATCTCAGTCTGTTCTATAGACTTTTCCCATATCTGTTGATCATAGGCTCCAATCTGGAAAAAAAGTTTCTATCAATGAAATTTTAAAGAGAGAGTGTGTGCCCTAGGACACTTAATCTACTTCCTATATCTTGCATGGTCAAAACTGCACTATTAACAATACAGACAATATCAACATTAAAGTGTCCTGTCTGAGTCCCGATGTTTTCCAATGTTTCTTCCTCAGCTCTTCCACAGTGCCTATGTGGGAAAGGATCAAAAAAGGGCTGAGACCCAAACCTGACAAAGGGATTTAACCAGTTATGATCCAGAAATCTTCTATTTAAGAACACTGTCATTAAAAGAATCACTTGGCCAATGATATTGTTAAATACTCCAATATAATATCAACTTTAAAAGAGGACAAGCTTTATTTACACATTATAGGAAAGACTGAAAGATTCCAAGAAAAATCAGTTAAATCATATACAAATAAGCAAAATAAATACATAACAACATTATAATGTGCCATATGGATAAATTTTCTGCACCAAGCCTATCTGAAGAGTTTTGTTTGGGCTGGCTGCTCTTTACGTTTTCTTTTGGGTAGTTGAAGTGTGGCTTGCTGTGGTGGTGTTTTTGCTGTCTTTATAATCAGAAGTTATGCACTTGCCTTACAGAATAAGAGGTTAAATCATAAAAACTATCTATAATAATATAATTGTATTTCTGGAATTTTACATTTAACATTTTCAGGCTGCAGTAAACTGAGGATAAGTGAAACTGTAGAAAATGAATCCACAGATATTCTACTGTTGTAACCAAAATCATAAAATGCTACTTTGTACAATTAAACAGTTTGTTTGCATTTTTATCCCATTCAACTAGTAACAAAGCTACTACACTGGGCAGCAAAAACAATCAAACATAATAATAATACAATAATAATACAACTTTAATACATAATAATACAAAGCAATAAAAATATCGGTAGGGAAAACACAAAATTCAGGACCATGATAGATGAGAACTGATGGGTGCAATAATCCAATAGGCCATGTAATAGAAAATGAACACAAAACTTCTTTTAAAAAGAACATACCTTACTTTTGCTGGTCAATGACCGTAATAAAACATTTCTTATATTTAAAAGAACATTAGCAATCGTATATTTTTTTCTATAGTATAGTTTTTAATGACAGTAAAGAGATCAAAAAGATTGCACCTATCTCATAAAATATGTGAAATAGCTGAGAAGTAAGATGCAGACGAACCTTCTTTTGGTACCAAGCTATGGCATCTTCGTCATTTGAGGCCATCTGGCATCTCAGTCATCAATAATTACTCTATCTGCACAAAAATGAAGTCAGATCATAATCAAAGTCTAGAAACCACCAGAGGCTAAGCTGGGCAGCGTCATCACAAGGCTGCTGCCCCAAGCGCAGCTGAAAAGTTCTGTTTTGGTAGGTAGTTCTTGGTGTTTTCTTTTGGGCGGCTGAAGTGTGGCTTGCTGCCCTGATGTGCTTGCTGCCCTTGTAATTAAAATTATCGCGCACCTTTTTAAAAACAGGAAACGAAATAAAGACTTTAAAAACAGAACTGTGCCACTGAGAACCCTCAAGAGCGGAGGCACCGAGATGCCTCCAACGCAAGCATCGGCCCTCAGGGGGTCTCTTCCAAGCAGACTCTTTACACTAAAGGTTATGAGGGGGCCCATGCTTGACCTTTCAGGGGGCCTCCTCTTCCTTCCACCTTCAGTCCTCAGTCGACTCAACCACCCACCCCCTTCTTATGTCTCCCCCCCTCTCTCACACACTTAAGGCCTTTGCCTTACCCTCCTACCACCCCCCCCCATTTTCCACCCCGTCCACATCCATCCCTCCGACCTTCCCCCCC